AGACAGAATAGAAGACCCCGGGTCTTCTAATCTGTCGGGGACTTTACAACTAAATTATCTATTTTAAAATAACACTTATATATGATATTCAATTTGATATTGAACTAAATAATGAAAAACGATAAATGTCAATATGAATATAATACTTACATTTGATTTTTGAATTTGATATTCAACTAAATGAAAAGCAACGAGAATTATCTATTTTAAAATAATACTTAATACATATGCTATTGAATTTGATATTGAACTAAATAATGAAAAAAGATAACTATTAATATAAAAATAATACTCACATATAGTTTTGATGTTCATACTCAACTAAATAATGAAGAAAGATAAATGCTAATGTGAATATAATACTTACATTTGATTTTTGAATTTGATATTCAACTAAATGAAGAACAAACAGAATTATCTATTTTCAATTAATACTTACACATATTTTTGAGTTTGATGTTCAGCTAAATAATGAAAAAAGATAAGTATTAATATAAAAATAATACTTACATATAAGTTTGACGTTGATATTGAACTAAATAATGAAACAAGATAAATATTAATATAAATATAACACTTACATTTGATTTTCAAATTTAATATTCAACCAAATGAAGAAGAAAGAGAATTTTCTATTTTAAAATAATACTTACATATGATATCGAATTTGATATTCAACTAAATAATAAAAAAAGATAAATATTAATATAAAAATAACATTTACACATACATTTGACGTTGATATTCATCTGAATGAAGAAAAAACAATTATCTATTTAAAAAAAAGAGGGTGTGGGTGTGGATGTGGGTGTGAGTGTTGGTTTGGTTATAAGTTTACAGAATCTCACCCACATTCACACCCACACCGACACCGACACCCACACCCACACCCACACCCACACCCACACCCACACCCACACCCACACCCACACCCACACGCCACACCCACACGCCACACCCATACGCCACACCCACACCCACACCCCACCCACACCCACACCCACACCCACACCCACAACCTTGAAAGGCATTACATCCAAGGAAAAGAATAGTATCATGTTCAGGAAAAAGAGCAAGAGACACTTAAATGTAGATCTATGTAAAATCAAGGACAAAATAATTAAGGACGAAAACAAGCAGATACATCATGAAAGCGGAACCACCTACAGGAACCTTCCATTGTTCGAGACCCATTGTCATACCTGCGAGAATGTAGTTCAATGGTATCTTTAAAAATATTCTACGCAGTTGACTTGGACGCTACACTTGATATTGCAACTATGATTACAATGATGAAAATGACGAAATGAATGAGACTTTCCCAAGGAAATCTTATCTTCTTTAGATAAATCTTTCTATAGGCCATGATATCAATTGAGCTTTCACCATGGTGTTGTTCAATTAATTGAGCAATCACTGTGTTAGTATAGTTTGAAATAGCTAATAGTCGTTGATCAGTGACTTGAGCATAAATAGGTATAGTATAAAACTCGTTGATAAATCCAGGGAGTGCACTGTCAGGTACTTGAACCATATGCGAGTGTAAAAGATTCCCATTTGTTCGAAACACATGCCAATTCCAGATGGTTAGACCAAGATAAATCACAGCAGAAACAATAGGAAATGTAATATAAGGTTTGACATTTTTGCTCAATCCACCTAACACGAATGCAACGATGACAACAGCCAACACAAGCCACCGATAAAGCAAAAGATGACCGCCACGCATTTGTCTCTTAATGCCACTAGTTTCGAAAGCTTTCCAACAACTAACTGCATGATTGTACTGTGATGCATACGTATTCTGAACCCAAGCGAGTTTGCCTGTAGCTTCAGGCGTACCCAGACTAATATTGGTGGTAACGGAGCGACCTGTACCAACGGCTAATCTTCCATCGCTTACTACAGCCACTCGATTATTCGACATTAGATCGATTTATTCTCAGCATCCAGGAGCGTAGCACACACTATATTTTTTGTCCTACAGTAATAACTGATAACAATGGCCACTTAACGTTGTTATATAACAGACGAAAAACAAAGGATTGAAGAAAGGAAGTAGATTACACGTAATAAACATCTATGTTGGTATTTTCTCCAGTATTTAAGCTTGATTTTTGTTAATCGTATGTTTTTTTTTTGAGTCTCAGCTTCCAGTCTTCTACAAAACTATATCTATGGGTGTGGGTGCGGGTGTTGGTATGGGTGTGGATGGGTGTGTGTAGTGTGGGTGTGGGTCTAAGCGTGATATACACTCACGCCCATCCACACCCACATCAACATCCACATCCACATCCGCACCCACGCCCCACACCCACACCCACCCACACCCATATCAACATCCACACCCACACCCCACATTCGCATCCACACCTACACCCACACCCACCCACCCGCACCCACACCCACACCCACACCCACACCCTTAATGGATATGAATGAATTATATTATTTAATCGATAATTAATATCAATCAATCCATGAAATACATCATAAGTTGATAAACAATCAAATATTTCGTAGAAAATTTCACTAGAGAATGATTCTAATCGAGAAACCATTTAACAAATATATGCTTTTATAAATGAAATAAAATTGGGTAAAAACATTTGCATATAGCAAAGAATGACCCATAGATATATAAAAGATAAGTAAAGTAGGAGAAAAATGAATGAGATTTTATCTAACGAGTTGCACCACGTATATATTTATTTCTTAAATATGCATTTGTATCTTTTATTTTTCACTGAGTTACTTAATTACAATTTTTTATGAATATTCATTTAAGTGTTGGTGGTCATTTTCATCATTTATTTTCATTACATGTTTTTCGAATCTCAATTTTCTGAAGATTTTTCGTTCATAATTCGGAATGTGAACTTCAACATATAGATAAACCGAAGTATTACTTGATATTTCGGTCTACTGTAAATATTAACCATACAGTCCCGTCGTCTTCATATTGAGAATGATAAGATTTATGAACATGTACAATGTATTTTAATTTCCATAATAATAGAAGAGATTTATCTATGTCTGATTGGCATCAAGCGCCATCTTTTAATGTAGTTTGTTTCAAAAAGGATCAAAACAATTCTGTAAATAAGTAATTTATTATTATTTATACAATCCTTTAAATTCATATAAATCCTGCATGAATGATTTTATGCTGTAACAGTACAGCCATCGGAAATAGGAGTATACAAAATCAGTTTCTTTTATTCTAATGAGTATCGTCTACAATTCTGGTCATGTAACTTAGAAAATTCTTTCAGAACAAATAGCTGTTACGAGTGTAATAAGAAGATAAAACGTTCATAGTAGAAATATTGAAGAAAAAAAGAGCTATTTGGGTTATACAATTCGTTCTCTGAAATTATTTTTTATCTGAATATGTAATTCAAGAAAATGAATCAATTTAAAGTTATCTGTCAAACAAGATAGAAGAAGACAAGAATAATTCTTTGTTTGTTTTGAATATCCATAATAAAAAAAACAATGAAAAAAAATATATATTCTTGTTTATATTAACAGAAATTTCTTGTCTGAATGTATTTTTATTAATTAAAATTGATAAATGACAAAGATAAGAAAAGAAATTGAGAAAAAAGTAAACTTTTCATCTATTTATTCAAATAGTAACAAAATTGTAACTCCTTTTTAAAATAAACAGAGAAGATTATTTTTGTCATTCATCGATTTTTAATTATTTTAATAATTTGTTAGAGTTTAAATTTTATATATCGAAAATATTATAAGATTAGAGCCATAGATAAACATTAGACCAAGTCTCGTAAAAATATTCAAAGTTGGTCAATTTTGTATTTTGTTCGAACCATTGACGTGTAATCGGTTCAGGATCATAATTACAGATAATTTGAAAATGACGAATCCATATATTTGATAAAGTTGTTGTCACCTTGTTGAGTAATCCTAATAAATCTTGAATACTTTCACGATCAAAAGCTAATCGTTCCAGATGAGCGAACGAGCGCCAAAATACGTCGATTTCAATCGATGATAAATATTTAGATCTATCCAACATATGACTCTTCATGTTAAGATCAATGATTTTTGGCCAATGTCGATCAAAAAACAAGTTAACAGTTGAGATATTTAAACAAAGAGAACGTAAATGTGGAAGACGGTGAAGAATGCGCACGAATTCGTGATTTGATTGTTCTTTTTCTGGATTGCCTTGTACGAAACTAGTAATTCGTGATAAATCAACATGACTGATAATGTATTCAAATGATAAGTCAAGATTATTTTCCACGATTAATGTATGGATATGGGTGAATCGACGTACATGGTCTTTTTGCATCGGTAAATCATAACCAAATACTAGATATTGATTATATGGAAATGTCATTGGTTCTAATCCAGTCGATTCAGTCACTAATGTTTTTTTCATACGTGGTAATGGATAACGATACTCTGTACAACATGGATTTGTATATAGAAACGAAACTGAAGTATCAATCCATTGATCATATGTTACATACCATTTCTTTTCTTCAAGCCAAAACTGTGTACGAAAAGTATTAAGATCAACATTGTCTTTTTCTGAAATTCCAAACATGAAACGAAATACAATAATTCTAGTTAACAATGGTATCCATGTATGACCATTAATTAGATCACTTTCAGTTTCATTAACATGAAGAGTAAGATGAGTAAGATGCATCATTGATGAGAGCAAACGTTTTATTTCGAGTATAGTTATATGATTGATTGTGATCGATAATTGTTGTAAATTGAAAGATGGTTGAAGCATTATGTTGTCGTAAATAGGTTGATGAATAAGCAACTTTGCATCGAGTTGACGTAGCATTGGTGCAACAACAAGAAGTTCATACAAATTAATCTGAATACCTGTTAATGTTAAACATTCAATATTAGATGTTGGCATAATAAAAGATGATGAAATTGTCATTATTTCATTTTGACAAGATGATGTATTGAGAGACAAATGTTTTAATGATCGTACTCTGAATAGGAGTTCGTGAAAAATAAATGACATCAATGCTGATATCGTTTGTTTTGAATCATCAACATCAACGATAGACATTGATTTTAATGCAATAAATGATGGAAGTCGAATTCGAATTGTATTCCAAATATCCGAATCGATGTTACTGAAATTAATCGAATATAAGTTAGGAAAAATGTCATTAATACCAATGGAGGATAAAAAGCGGATGTTTTTTACATTTGCTATTGTATTATCATCATTGTCAAAGGTCAATGAGCCGATGTGGGATGCCAAATTGGGCAATGCATTACATAATAAATCAAATTGTTTCTTCTTTTTAGCTATGCAATTGAAATCGAGTGAAAAACGAGAATAGATGCGAGAAACAGAATAAACACGTTTGTTGACGAGACATATCGATGAGAGAATATCAGCGATGGAAATATAGTCGAAAATCTTTTCAATTAATTCAGTAGGTAAAGTACATAGATAGTCGGACATTTTGTACATGGCAGCATCCATCGAATGCCGCTATTTATAAATTGAACAAACAATAACCGTCAAATTGGTCGCCTGAATGAATATGTTGCCTACAGAGGTGTTAGCCGCCGATTTTTCGTCGGCGGAAACTTATTCACCGCCGCCGAAAAATTGATCGGCTAATACCTCTACTATCCATTTCGGAATAGAAGGTGCGTGATTGTAAATTGAATAACTAGGGAACGAAAACAGCTATCGAGGTCGGATTTTCGTCATTCTGTAGCCAAGCCTGGGACACGTAACGATATGTGAAAAAAATTTTTTCGAATTGATCTGAGGTGGAGAGAGGGATACAAATATTTGTAAAACAGGCGTGCCAAAAGTAGAAGACATGATGTATTCTTGATTCCAACTAGTGAAATCAATGCATAAGAGCCTTCTCTACAATTCTGCGGAAACCGCAGATTTCTACGATGTTCCGTTCAAATGCTACAGGTCCTGAGAAAAATCTACAAAAATCGAGTTTTTAGCCCAGAAAGCATACTTTTTCGCTTGATAAACCTTCCCCGATGATGACCACATATGGTTTTAACCTTGCTGATCATTATGGCAAAGACCAATTTGAAAATTTTTTTTCACATATTCTTATCTATCTCAAACTTGGTTACAGAATGACGAAAACCCGACCTCGATAGCTGTTTCCGTTCGCGAGTTATTCAATTTACAATCACGCGCATTCCATTTCGAAATGGATAGTAGTTGCCTAAAGTTTCATATGCAGATCCAATCATTTTTTTTTTTCTAGAGGTGTTGTCTATCGGACAAATTGACCTAGTTTTTTGGTTGCCTACGTCACGTTTCTTCAAACCAAAAACGACGCCATTTAAAGATAAAAATTGCATCTAGCAGACAGTATCAAGATTATTTAAAGCATATCATTGATGATATTATCGAATATAAGTTATAGAAAAACTTTTTCTCAGAGTTCATATGGGATTGTCTTTCATATGCATCAGTTTAGTATGTTCTAAACGAAGAAGCGATTTTAATTTTGTATCAAATCGTTTCATATGTCTCTGTGTGATAGAGACAAACGATAAAATGGTCGAACAATTACAAACAACTGTAGTAAGAAAATAAAACGTTCAAAGTAGAAATACTGAAGAAAAAAAATGAGAACAAATGTAGAGATACCAGGGTGTATATATTGAAAAGTCTGTGTGAGTTATCGAAAATGAAAACTTTCAATTCTTGAACTTAAAACCAGTAATAATAGACTTTTCCGAAAATCATCAATAAAAATAGTCGATTAGAAGATTTTTAATCAAAACACAAAACAATAAATCTCAAGATATATAGGATAGGAAATAGTATTGTTGCAAGAGGATAACGCTATAATTTCAGATAATGTACTCAATAAATTTTATATCAAAGAAAACCTTGTTGCAAACAGGTTAATTACATTTGTACTTAAGTATGTAAACAGGTAGTTTTGTTCAGCTTCCAATGCTCTCTCTTTTGATATATTACACAAAAAGTTTCTTTAATTTTTTGTCATCTAAAAATACCTCAACTTTATAGGAACACTTTCTGACTATTTTTTGCAAATAGCCTTGTCAGTGCTCGACAGTAAAATTGAGATAACTCTTCACCAGCTTATCTAAATGCATTAAAAATTTGGATTTGGAGATTTTCGATGATGCTGAACAAGATGAGAGCATCAAGTCAAAACTCTAAATTTTGTCCAGTGCTTCGATTTCTGGCATGATTCTCGATGATCTCATGGAAGCTTTCTTAATGAGGAGAACACTTAGCAACAACAATAATGATATTCACGTAGAGCGCTTTCTCTCTCTTGCTTAAAGCTTGACTAAAAAATTTAAAAAAAAAGAAAGAAAAAATATGTGGAGTCTGCATGAACGTTCTTCAATGTCTCGATTTCTCCCCATTAAAGCCTCATTAACTTATTCTTCTTATAAAACAGTTTATTTGCTTATCGGTAGCGATTGAGGAGGAAAAATATGAAAAATGTTTCGTATTGATTTTATTTTGGAAAGAATGAGAGTACTAAATACAATATGTCATATGTGTGCTCGACCGCCGTCGACAAAAAGTTCGATGCCTGTTACATAACTGCTATCATCGGATGCAAGAAACACCGCAGCTTTAGCAACTTCATCCGGCGTGCCTAGACGATTCATTGGTACAGCAGTCAAAAAACGGTCGGCGAATTCTTTGGCTTTCTCTTCGCTACCACCAATGCGTCTCGCCATTGGTGTGTCAATTAGGCCTGGACTCAAAGTATTGACTCGAATCTTTCGGTCTTTCAAGTCCATTGTCCAACAACGAGCAAATGAACGAAGAGCAGCTTTTGTAGCACTGTAGCAGCTCATCCCTGGATTTCCTTTTACAGATGCAGTAGATGCATTCAAGATAATCGATCCACCATCAACCAATATCGGTAAAGCCTTTTGAACAGTGAATAACACACCTTTCACATTGACATTGAATAAGTTGTCAAAGTGTTCTTCGGTGATCGAACGAAGTGGTGCAGAACCACCAGTGGCTGCATTAGCAAAGAGAATATCAAGTCGATCTTTCTCTTTCTTGATTTGATTAAACAATCTATCCAAGTTATCCATTTTGGATGAATCACATTGTACTGCAGTAACATTCTTGCTTGCAAGTCTTTTGATGGCATCATCAAGGGTATGTTGTCATCGTCCAGTGATGAAGACATGTTCTGCATTTTCAGCGATGAATCGCTGTGCAGTTGCAAAGCCAATACCTTCAGAACCACCTGTGGTAAGAGCGATTTTTCCGTCAAGTTTACCCATGTATTTTTTGATAGTGTTTTTCGTGGTAGTTGGCAGTTGACGATCTTTTTTATTTTTTGATTATGTAGAAAGATAAATGCTTGTGATATATCCCCCTGGAAAAAAATAGTTAGACTCGGTATTTCGAATATATTTCCACTATAAGACCACACTTTTTTAAAAGTAATTACATATTCTGAAAGCCCGTGGAGTTTTCTATCACTCTGTATAATTAGGTTTTAGTTTCGACCTATTCATTATCAAAATAAATTGAGAACAATGAAAGCACCCTCATGTTCAGATTCCCATAAACTTGATTTGTCACTGTTGTCAAAATTAGTTTTTTAAATTTTTTATCACTATAGTACCATCTTTTGAGAAAAGTAATTATGTATTCTGATAGAGCTTGAAATTCTCTATCATCCCATATATTTATTTATTTTCTTATATTGATTTATTTAAAAAAAAATTTGAGTGCAATGAACACATCGTGAATCGATAGGTACCAAAAAATCTGCATTTTTTCGCTATTTAAATTCAAGACACTACATTAATACATAGGATGATAGAGAATTTCAAGCGCTATCAGAATATGTAATTTCTTTTGGAAAAAATTATTCCTATAGGAATAATAATTGGAGAGAAAACTAAAAAAAGTGGCGAAAAAATGCAGATTTTTGATACTTGTCGATTGAGGGTGCGTTCATTGTACTCAAATTATTGTTCAACAAATAAATGTAAGGCAGTAGCTAAATATATGGGATGATAGAGAATTTCAAGCTCTATCAGAATACATAATTACTTTTTTTTAGAAGGATATTTCTATAGCCGAAAAGTTTAAAAAACTAGTTGAGGATACAAAATCCTGTCTGTGGGAAATCTGGACACGAGGGTACTTTCATTGTTCTCAATTTATTTTGATAATGAATAGGTTGAAACTAAAACCTAATTATACAGAGTGATAGAAAACTCCACGGGCTTTCAGAATATGTAATTACTTTTAAAAAAGTGTGGTCTTATAGTGGAAATATATTCGAAATACCGAGTCTAACTATTTTTTTCCAGGGGGATATATAAACGTAAATAAATGCAACATGATGCTAACACGTTATTTTGCGTTCTTCCAAGGCATTTATTTCTACCGTCATGTTGGTATTGTTTTGTGTTCTCTCCTCTTATACACTGAAGCTACACTAACAGATATGACGTTCTCTCACTTACGACTCGTCGATTGCATTCGACACACTTTTCTTGTTTAGAACGACAAAGGTATCACTATGCGAAAGAAAGAGAAGAAAGCAAAATGCCAAACAAAAAATATCCATTGCAAAAAATATCAAAAACTAAGCAGACAATATTATTATCATTTTCATAAAGATAATATTATGATTCTATAAAATCACTGAACAATCATATAAATAAATAAGACATAAATAACTTTTTAGAGAATAGAGAAAATACAAAAAATCTATTAGAGCAATCTTCATGAGATTAAAACGCGATACACGATGTAGCTTGTTATATTGTAAATGAAGGTATTCAGTAATATGTGTGTCAGTTTTGAACTACTATATACTGTTACAGTAAATATAAAAAGATAGCGAAAGACAGCTATCTTAAATTTCATTATGTTTCAGAATAATTTTCCAATAAACTTCAACTTCGTGGTAATGTCTGTGACGTTTTCGTGGTAGTATCAATCATCGTCTGTAGAGAAAATCCGAATCTCTACCTCTATACTTCAACACTCCTTTTAGATCGTGTTTGACAAAACTATAGTAGCAATAACAAGATATGGGTGTGGTGTGGGTGTGGGTGTTGTTATCTTTATTGCCTCACTCACACCCACACCCTCAAGATAGTCATCAAACCTGCAGAGTTTCCTACTTTTAGAGCTAACAAAAGATAATAAACTAATGATGAATGCAAAATCTTATAAAGACATATTGATTCAATAATACGAATCAAAAAAAGCACAAATGTTTTAGATTATTTATATTTTTTTTTATGAAAATCGATATACAATAGGTTACAAATGCACAAATGTGTTGGAATTAATGTATTTATCATGAATTACATAACAAATTGAAACATTTGAAGACATTTCTTCTTTGAATATGTAGCAAACAAGGATTCTTTTTGAGACCATGATGTTTGAAATAATATGTTGAGTGATATTATGTAGTATATCATAGATTGAATAGAATGAATAATTGTTTATCTTGATTAGAGAAATATAACACAGTTAGCTCCATATTGATTGATTAAGATGAATGTTGTACCTAACTTCAAGTTGAATAGATTAAAGACTTTTGAGAAGTAATAATGGCTTTAATGGTACAATTGTTACCACTATTGGAACAGAAACATAAGTATAAGAATATACTAAAAAACATTGTTACGTAAACTGAGAAATAGCAATAAATATTGTGACAGTAGTTTGAACTGGTTTGTGTGTATAGTTGTATTTATATGTGTTTACTTGAAAATAGTCATTATTATGAAACATTTGTCTAGTATCAAGGCACGCGTATTAGTAGCTTGTTTGTTATTTCGATCGGATATCAAGTATTCATCATTGGTATCATGTAAATAATGAATAGGAAAACTTACTCTTCCGTACTTCATTTGGTTTCTCAAATCAAAGCAATTCTATCTATCGATTATTTTCATGTTTGTTATTTGTCTGTTCATCAAAAGCTATACTTGTTTCTTTATTATATTGATTAAATCACACTATATCTTCTACGTGACACATATTTACGCATCGATGAGAATATAACTCACAAGAAATGAACAGAAATCTTACGATCTTTGTCTTCTATACTCCTCTATAAGAGATTCAAAAATTTAGATTTGATTTCTGAAAAAAGTGATCTTCTAATGTAAACTATAAAGTTGAATATGTTGATGATTCAATTCAAACTATCACAAAAATTAGATACTGATACAGTTATTGTCTATCAAAACCTTAGAAAACAAACAAAAGTAAGATAAACATCATGTTTTGTAAACAATATGGCAAAAGACATATGATTTTCATCTTATTATGGAGCGATACGAAGAGTGTGTAGGTGTGGGTGTGGGGTGTGGGTGTGGGGTGTGGGTGTGGGTGGGTGTGTAAGTGTGAGTGGGTGTGGGTGTCGATCTGTCTAGTTGAAAGCCTACACACCCACACCCACACCCACACCCACACCCACACCCACACCCACACTCACACCCCACACCCACACCCACACCCACCCACCACCCACCCACACCCACACCCACACCCATACCCCACACACCCACACCCACACCCACACCCTATCCAGTCTTTATCTTTATTGGATATAGCTAATGAATTCTAACCAAAATTAGTTTTTCTTTACCTGCCAAAAATCAACACTATATTTTGTTAATACTTTAATATTGCTACTAGACGCTTGATGCAGTTCAAAATCTACCTGATTTGTTTCATCTATTAGAGAAGAAATAGAAAGACCATATTTACTTTCGTCGAGTGTCAAAAGAGAAAGCAAACAATAAAACGTACGTTCTTTATTTTCTAGTTGTGGTAACGATGATTCGTTTTCTATAAGATTTTTATTATGATGATTATTTAAAGAAGTATCATAAGCAATGGTTGTTGCAGTTTCTACTAACAGAATTGTAATCCAGAAGTACAATATGGTTGTCATTCTTGTTTATATGCTATGAAATACGAGTGTTTTTCTTCTTCTGATATGAATATTTCATAGACGTCATCAAACTCCATCTACTGTATAGATAACATTTCTTCTTATTGCATTATCTTTAATTCTGATATATTCTGTTTGTGTTGTATTTTATAAATGGTATGTGTACTGCATATAAAGCTTGTTATCATCGAGTATCTGTTCTTTCTTCTAATAGTTCTATCTTGCTCTCATTCATTTCTTCTTATTCTTAGGAAAGATGTTGGAATTGAAAATTCTTATCGTGGAGTAGAATAAATATTATTTTTCTCTATTCTTGCAATAAGCAAAGACAACATTTTAATGCAGATATAAAATGTAACTTAATGAGTTTCTACAATATGTTGAATGCTAAAATTTATCATTGCATATCATAATTGTTGACGTTCTTCTAAATGTTCACAAGTTTTGAACAAAGTCTGTTCGAGATATGAGACTTTTCCCATCAGTAGTGTATATAAAACATACATTTTTTTTTATACATGGTAGTCTAGTTGAGTTCTTTATGTGTGCCAAGTTTTAGATCAAAATTCGAAAATACAAGTGTTCCAAAAATCTAGATCCTCTAGAAAAAAAAAATTTTTTTAGAGTTTTTGTTAGAACTCGATGTAGTATCTGTAAGGAAAAAAATATTAAAATCAGAAGGAAACATATGAGGAGGTTCCATCGTTATCAATGGCAATATCAGCTTTCCTCACATGAGATACAAAAAAAAGATTAATCGAATTACATTAAAGATATTATTCACGTTACTTTCGTATCTTCATGTTTTTTTTTACATTCCTATTTTCGTCTATTCATAAATCCTCAATAACTTGACAACCAGACCATCAAATTTTGATTGAATTTATATTATTCTGTTTTTTAACACTGAAACATATAAGACGATCAGTATAAAATTTAAAAACACTTCGACATATCGTACGATAATATAAAAGTGTATGAAGATCTTCTAGTGAATTATCAAATGTCTTCATTGATATCATTCTCTTCTGTCGATAGATTATCAATTAAATGATGAATATTGTGTTCTACTTTAGTCATTCATAAGAAGAATTCAACAATAACAAAAAAAATGATTTTTCAATTTGTTTGTATAAATAACAGTGCAGGTTTATTAAATATTGTTTTCATATCAACATGTACATGATGTACAGCATTTTCATTAATCAATAATGATACAGTTGTATGCTGCATAAATAAATTCAATAAATCAATTTTGATTTTATTTTATTTCAGGTGTTTTTTGGAAAATTTCGTTTATTACTAAATACAAAGCACGTTTTTGTTGCTGATAATTTTAGGACTTATTGATATCATGCTATCTAGAAATTAAATATAAACTTCTGAAATTTCGTCTAGACACAAAAACCTTCTTTACATGTACATCAAGATAATCATAATAGTCAAATATAGCTGATTTGTAAAAAAAAAAAGACAACAACAAAACAGAAAAAAACAAAATTTGATCACTGTTTGTAATGTTATTCATAAATCATTAAAACAGTTTAGAAAGCCCGTCAATCGATAAGAGTATGCACGATCAAATCGAAATCAGTAACTGTACGAACTTTTAATAAAATAAATACAAAAAAAAAATATGCTTTTCGAATTATACTAAAATATCTTTTCATGCTATACTAATAAAGTATTACGTAAATAATCTTTTGGGTTTTCAAAATCTTTGTAAACATATTTCATTCATGCATCACGTAATGGTACAAATATGATTTGGAAGTACCTAAAATTTCAATTAGTGTTATTTTCATCGTTGTTATTCATGTGATACGAACTTCTTTTTTCTACAAAAAAAAATATACTCATTTAATTAAAATTATTTGTATTATCGATTGAATTAGAAAACAATAAGATGCATTCTATTTTTAATTATATAACGGAATCTATTTAATATGTTCGTCTCCTAATCAAAGTGTTTGCACTAAAATGAAAAAAAGAGACCAATCGATGGAGAATTCCAAGTTCTATTAGTTTCTCAAAAAATATTTTTGTTTTCGATGTTGGACTTTATCACCAAAACTTGATTTTATTAAGAATAGGCGAAGCACACGGAAAAGTGGTATTCTTCTAATCCCATTATATTTCGCTCACATTAGAATATATTGAAGAAGTGCATATAGAGTAGAAAAAAGTGATCTTTTTTAGTATTACATGACAGTTTGAAATTGAACATGGGCATGGATGCCGATCTTCTTATCATCCACACCCACATTCTATCCACTGGAAGACTTGTATGTACACTAATGTTACTATCTTCATGATCACTGAGTTAAAAGAAAATTTTAATTCTTATTTCTTTTCTTCTTGATATACCTTGTCGAAAAAGAAACTTGATGGTCACGATCTCATGTATGAAGAGTTTCTAGTAAATTCTGATCCTCTTTAAAGTAATAGTCTTTTCTTATGTTTTTTTCATTAGAATAGACAAATATTTAAAACATATATATACTAGGCACATAGACCTACTCCTAGCTAGAGTTTCAGCTTTCTACCTCTTATAATCACAAAAATACAGGTTATATAAAATTCATAAGAATTTTTCCGTCTGTTGATGATGAGTATTAACTAAAAACGACATATATTAATTTTAATATATCTGATTGTTTTCAATCACCTCACTCATTTTTCCATCATTCACTCATATAAACATTTTAAAATCTTTCTTTTCTCAGTTTGTTCTTAATTACATCTCAAACTATTTCGATTGACCAAACAAACATCAGAATTGATATATTCATCAAATAACAATTGAATAGTATCCATCACAACTTTTTATACACAGAAAACTAACTGTAAATGTCAGTCTAGGCTACGGCATTCGAATACTTGTCGTCAGTTTATATTTCATGAAATTTACTTAGCAAAAATGAAAATCAAATAACGCTGTTGCTACTAACAGCAATGCTGCCATCGAATATTCAACAAAAAAAACAAAAGACAGAAAATAAAATTGTGAAAGTCAACAATATGAATCTATGAGATAGATCCATGTCAGTAAATGCACTCGATTGATTTAAAATAATAAACCATTGAAAAATTGAACTTTAATTACGTAAACGAAGCATTTGATAGTTTCCAATATCCTAAAGATTAAAGAATAAACAAACATCAAAAGATATTGAACAGATTTGAAAATAAAACTTACAATAAGAAAAAGTGCACCAAGTATAAGAATTTTCATTTTAGTATCAAGATTCAATGGAACTAATAACAGAAATATAAAAACCAAATTCTATGACGACAATCTTTTTTTTTTAGATTTGACCTATGTCGTTTACTTACAATTGACTGTGAAAGCAACAGGATTTGCTGATGAAAGTTGCATACTTTCAGGATATTTCTTATCAATAACTCCAATTTCTGTTGTTCGATCAGTACCTAATAACTGTAAAATAAATTCATCTAAAATTCTTTTCTACAGTTGAAAAATAAAAGATTTCAATATAATGATTAATGTTCATCTTTTCAAACAGTGATTATCTATGGAATATTTTTTTAGTAGAAATATTTTAAATGAAATCTTACTCACTATATATTTATTTTCACAACCACAAGAATAAACTCCATTACAAATACAGGATGGACCCATTATAGTTAACATCGGTATATTATTTACATCTTTAATAACGTAATTCATACCGGATCTACTACCTCTAGATAAGAGAGCAAAATCGATAATAGAACTACATTTGTCTATTTAATATAATGTTAATACTCTTGTTGAACAGTGCCAATAATTTGTCCTGGTGGACATTCAACGGTAACTTGTTGCATACAACCTTCACAACTACCACAACAATTACATCCTGAACAACTTTGTAATTCACGATGAACTCTAATAAGTTCCTAACAGTAAAACAAAATATATTTTTAAAAATAAAAAAAATCCTGATTTGTAATTTCGACTTACTCGACCATAATTATCAAGAACATGCATAGTAAATTCGCGCCCTTTTGTTGAAAATATACGGTCAAATAAATCCGATTCTTGTTTAATATAAAATGAATACATATGATTCAATATTGAATCTATTTAATATACCTTCAAATGCAGAAAATAATTGTTCACCTCGATTGTTAAGTATTCCATATTTTGCTTGCATTGGAACATTAGTCAATACTGAAAAAAAACCAGCATATTTTCTAAGATATTTAATAGAAAACAAAAAAAAACACAAATTCAGTCTTATTTCTGCTTGTAACCTTTATTCAAAGAAAACCCATGATTGATCGATAATGAATCGACTGATTTGAACTGTTCAATAGCATCAATATTAGCAATTGATATTGATGTCCAAGACATTGGCTGTTGCGTTATTTGAGACATTATCTTAAATAGAAATCATATCATCATGTTTAAATAATATATTTATTCTTCTATTATTTTGCTCTATAGTAACAGAAAATAGTTAATTTATTGATATAGATTCATAGAACTTAATTTATGATTTTTTATGATCATAGATCTAAAACAGAAAAGAATCAATTTGTGATAGAATGAGTCAAAAATAAAATATGTCATAAGATCACACATGCCTTGAAAGATAATCGTCTCATTCATAACCAACAGCAAAAGTAACACAAAGTACACTGAGTAATTATTATCATTATCATATTCTCGTTTTCAGTCTTTCCTCTTGGTAATACTATGTGTTTTATTTGTTCGATGTAGAGAATGAGTGTAAAAAAGCACAACTATGTCCTTTTTTAATATGACAAGAACAGAAAAAAGAAATGAAAAAAAAAAACTAATATCGATGATAAAATAAGCTGATGCCAACGACCTTGAGACAGAAAACATCAAACGTTCTTTTTTCTTTTGACTACTTTCATTGATGTTTCTAAAAAGTTAAGTCAATAGAACTTTATCGGTTTCTATTAGAACTTGGTATTATCAAAATAATTCCATGCAATAAACAAATGAAGTGATATCAGTATCACAACGTTATATCAATATGAATATCTCTTACATTTAAAAGAAAATGTCACTAACAGTTTGATCTTATCATTCTGACGTCAAAACAAAAGTTAAAAAAAATGAATTTACGTCAATATTCAGTTGAATGTCGCCAGCAGTTTGTTTTTAATGATAGATCAGTTATTTCAGTCAACTTAAAACAATAGAAAAACTCATATAATAAACCAATGAAATTATTCGTTTTTCGAAAAAAAAAAGATTTACATTCAAAAAACATATGTATCTTTGTCTGCTTCAAACAATTAGAAACGAGCTTCTCTATTTTTCGGTTTTTTTTTTTTGAGTCCCTTGATTTAACTTGGCTATTCCTTTTTCCTAAAGAAAGGATGGAATAAAAGATATTGTAGATTCATGTTTTGTGTGTCCCCTAATCAACTAGTTTTCAGAGTAGATGTGTGACAGCTGCAGCTCATGAAGTATCTCAAAGTGCCTTGAAGTACTATGAAGTTGTTTTTAAATATCATAGAGATCGAACTGTTAAATATGGAAAATAGTGATTTTCATAGAGCGTTAGTTTCTCTATATACTTGTAGCACAGAATTGATTAGCAGATTCGTTCAATTGATATATTTTGTTAGTTTTTTGAACTAGTGTTTTGGTCTAGCTGAAAGAAGTTACCGTTACGTTACCAAGCAACTATTAATTCAAAATTCATTATCCTGATTTTTTTTTCTTGACTGGGGACGAGTATGTCGATTAAACAACGATTTCCAATAAAGTTTGCTCAAAAACTTTCGGTTGTGCGTGTGGTGATGGTTCTACTTCTATTCGAATCACTCATAGTTGGGCATTAATATGCACTGTCAGCGACAAGTACAGCTAGACCAACACCCGTGCGGTCTATAAAACTTCTCTAAACGATTTTTTTGAATAAGAAAATAGAGTCACTAGAAAGACGTTTTTGGAGAAGAGAGTGATTTTTTTCTTACAAAATGTGTTTGAAGGCTTTCAGAGATGAGCAAGTCTAATCAGAAGTCCATTTGCCTCAAAACCATACTGAACGTTAGGAAACATCAGAGAGC